CAACGTTTTCTTCCAAACCACCAAAGTGTTCATACATAGAAATATAAATTCTCGCATTTTTTTTTTTAATTATTCCTTATTACTAATTTTAATGAGTCATTAGGGCATTATGAGCCAATCATGTCATGGACTTTTGATTAAAATATTTTCCAAAGAGCAAAATGGATACTTCACTGTGCGAAATAGTGGCATGACTGCTACAATGTCTTTGAGGTCAGTATGATTTACTGCATCACAGTCTAGGTTGGAGTCTTAAATTCATGGCGTTCTGTTTTAGTACATGAAATCTTGACATCTGGACAATAAGAAACCCTATTATGTAGAAGCTCTCTCAAAGAGGTATCTTACTAGCTAGCAGTTCATTGACACAATGATTCTTTACACTTTAGAAGCCTTTTGCTCTATATATATTTCATAAGCCAAGATCTCTACACAAAGGTGATGGTAAAAGGAAGAAAAATTGTGAGTAATGCAGATGTTCTCCAAACATCTCTGTCACCTTTTATTTACTTCTTAAAACCAGCCCCGTTTTCCTTAATTAAGGAAGGGGGTTGGGAGGAAGAAAATGTCTAAGAGAAGCATTAGCAAAAATGCCTTACCTAAATTCTTGGAAGCAGATAGGATATACCTATTTATGAAAAACATGACACTTGTTAAATAGTTAAGGACAAAAATTACTAAAACCACTCCTTATGCCTCATCTGATTTTAACAGAATTTGAAAAAACATTTATCATCATTGGTCACTTTGATAATGAGCTTTTCCTATGATCTTAAACACAAGAATACTGACAATGATCTGAAAGCAGCACTGTAGATTTTAGCTCACCTTATTTCTTAAACTGTACTGCCTAAATATTTACTCTTCCTATCATCATAAAATAATCTTCCTCTACCTTCCAAGTGACAATCATTACATGAAACACAGATATTGACTTGCCTCTCCGATTAAGGGTTTCAAGGGTCTCCATTTTAGTTCCTTAGAGAACAAATGCTATGTCAAGTTTTATAATTATAGCTTGTGATTAAAACAATGAATCGGGGGGGGGGGGGGGGGGGGGAAGGGGGGGACTGAGGTGGGGAAGGGAAAAACCTATACTGCCATCTTTTTTTGTACAAAGTTTCCTTTACAGCTAGTGGACAAGATGCTCTTGGTCAAGTTGCAAGAAAGCCAAATAACTCCACATAATAGTAAGTCAGTTCCTTGGAAGTATACCCATGGATACCTGCTGATGATTTGGTCCTCAAAGCTGAAAGACTGTTACATGTGACCAAATGCACACTGTGTGCCACTATAAATAAAACTGATAAAAATGTTAACGTTAAAAATGCAGTAAGCCAAAAAATAGTTGTTGGGCAGAGGGGTTGCAAAATACTGGGAAATATATGTATTTTATAAAAGCAAGTGCATTGATCCAGTATTAAGCAATTACATTTATATTTAAAGAGACCTATGACTGTGTATCTACTCATAGCAACACACTCTAGATATAATAGATATATCCACATTTTATCATCTAGATTAAATTATCATGAATATAGGCCTTTAAAATACTAAATTATTATGTGCTTTGATACATCATAATTTCATTTTTTATTTATATCATAATTAGCATAAAAAGATGGAGTCTTAAAATGTATTCTCAAATCACACTTGTTTTGCATGTCTAAGTTTTAAAGATGATACAGTTGAAAGCACAATTAATATACCTATAAACTAAAGAAGGGTACAGTTTTAAATAATTATGTCAAGAAATGACAACTGTACTCTTTGTAGAAGCAGAGATGAATAATTACAAAGCTGGGACATAATTAAGCAATTTTGACTGTCTTATTCTTGAGCTGTCTTTCTGATGTGAAGTGCTGTCATGCCCAGAAACACATGTCACACTGGACAGGCATCTTCCACTTTGATCTACACTTATGCCAGTGAAATGAGGTCATGCTCTGGTCATTAAACAAGGCTTCCTCATCTGGCTCAATGCCTCTTCTGCATCCACGATTACTCAATCTTTATTAAAATCAGGCATGATACAATGTTCAATATTTTGACAAAAGAAAACATAAACATCACAGAATAATGAAGTTTAGCTCACTTACATAGCTAGATGGAACACTGCATTGTAACATTAAACTGTTTTCTAATAAATGACTGCATATTTCCATAAGACAGTCATATCACAAATAGATGCATTTTAAACAAAGGATGAAATGAAGCAAAGCACAAGGAAGTGCAGTGTTCTGTTAAAAAAAAGGAAAAAAAAAAAAGTAAAAATAGGGAAAAAATAAAGTAAAAAAATGTATACAAAATAAAATATTTATGACTTAGTGATGACTGGTGATTGCTAGATACTTTTGCATTTGAGTAAACACAAGCCAGTCAGATGGAAAGTTCTTGCTTCTATTCTCATTTTGTGAAGTTTTTCTTGGTGGGGTATTTTGCTCTCCCAACTATTTCATGTCAAGACTATAATGAAAACAAGTCCCTACATCACAGCCTCCTTAGCTGATCAGTCTGCTTTTTATGCTGAATAAGCCATACCATCTCCTGCTTATCATAATGGGGTGGAAAAAAAAAAAAAGAAGAAAAAAAAAAAAAAAAAGAAAATAAGGAATTTCAGATTTGGGGGCTTTTTTTCCTGTAAAAGCAAGTCCAATAGGCTCACCATTGTTACTACATCTGGTAGAACAACATTTCCATGTGGCATCCCACCATAAATACTAATCACTCCAACTCAATTCCTGGCAAGCATAGGCTCACACAGAGGCTACTACCTCAGAGGAAATGAAAAAAACATTCTTAGGAAGTTCATTACCATCAGGGTCTTATATCACTAGGTCAACTTCTTAAGGAGTTTTTCTCATGACCAATACTGGATATGCTGCAGTCTTCCTCTAAGTTTGGATCAAGTTGTATTCTTCTCTAATTGGTTTCAGAAAGCTTATAATATATTACCACTAGCTGTCTGTTAAATTTGGCTGAAGCTGGTCAAAAATCTCAACAACTATATGGGAGGGGAACCGATGAAGAGACAGCACAAATTTCAGGAAACCTGAAGAGTAAATAAAACATTATGTATTCAATACATTATATATGATAGAATTTGAAAGTACAGCTATGGTGCACATCATCTTTGTGCTATATAGAGGAATGCTGCTTGCTATGGTCTTTGAGGATAGCTATAGCTATATATATAGATATGTGCATCTGAAAACATATGTTCAGAGATGACTCTATGAATGTTCTCAGATATAAAGAGTTTGCATGCATGCATACTGTATGTATGAATATCTTAGGAAACAAACACAAATTCAAAACAATTTAAGGAGGTTTGTAATATCTGTTCTGTATCTAATTTAATATTTTTAAATTAGCAACTTCTGTAATATGTATATAATATTCTATGATGAGGGTAATTTGTAGTACCTTAAGAAGCATTAATTCATGCCATGAAAAGCATTTACAATGATTTTACCATCAGCAATTTGTACCAAATCATTTATAAAGAAGAAAAACCCCTTTAGTATGACAATAACAACAGTAAATTTGAACCTTCTGCAAATTTGCTGAAATAAATGTATCTCTTATCATAAGAGTTAGTGGGTAAATAATTCAAAACTATACAAAAGGTTCAATTACAAATATAAAAGATAAAATTGTTATCCCTGCATCTGTGAAGTATTTTATCCTTAGCTATTGACTTAAAAAGAGGTTTCATCTGGAAAAGGAACATAAAATTTAAGAGACACTTTTTTCTTCTCTGACACTATTAAGTTGGTTAAAATCCAAAGAGAGGATTCTTAAATGAAAAATCTAGTTGCTAAAAACATTAAAAAACACTACACTGATCCAAAATCTGATTAGATAAAATTATAAAAGAAGACAATATATATATGCTACATCTAACACATTTCTTTTGGCCAGATTCATCAAAGATTTGCTGTGAATAAGATATCCACAACAGCTTAGAAATAAATTATTTTATTTATTACATATATGAAGCTGAAATAACTAAAGGCAGTGGTAAACAATATATCAAAGGTATGCTTGTATCAGAACTGTTAACGTTTTAGTAGTTCCAAATTAATCAGTCTGAATTAATTGGTTATGCACTGCAACTGTACTTGTGATAATGCATTTATCTAGAAACACTGTTATGCTACCAAACAGTGCATTTCCATAACTGCTACATTATTATTCACCATTATTGGAAATCTGCAATAAATTATTGATGGTATATTTTAGAGAACAAAGCAGTAAACTGAAAGCAAGTAGACTGAAAACTTGAGCGGAGTTTTAAGATCTGCAGCACTGAAACACTCTGAAGCTCAGATGGCTGTTATCGTGTATTGATCAACAATGGAAAAAGAAGTTAAAGTGGAGAATTTGTATTCATGTTCTGTTTGCATCAGCTGTATGGAGTATGCCGAGTTGATGCAAGTGGTATCAAAAGCTCAGATTACTGAAACTGTATCTGTGATGTTGTCAATGCTTATTAAGAGGATACCACATTAAGTAACATCATACAAAATTAGAATCAGCTGGTCCACTAAAAGCCAATAAACACCTCAGGTGTGAGCTCTGCGATAGACAGTTGTATTTAACATACAAGGCAGGGGACAACTTGTCAGAAAAATTACATTCTTTCACCAAGGCATATCACACAGTTGTTACATATCTTTAGACAGGGTAAAAATACTCTTTTAAACTCAGTGACACATACTAGTTACTTTGTTATATGAAACAGAGTTTGGAAACCAGAAATTTGATAACATAACTACAGTCCATTAACCAGATGTAACAGTAAAGTTTGATATTAAAACACAGAAAAATAACTAAGGCTTTTGTCCTTCCTCTGACCATGTTCACCAGTTGAAAAGTTGAACATTTGAAAGGGTTTGTCAGTTACTTTAGCAAAAGATGCAGCCAAGCTTTTGGAGTTATTTTAAAACAGTGTTAATGAATCACATAGTAGTTACTTCTTCCATTTACTCTCCTACCTTAGCATCCTTGGGCTTAACCACTTTCATGAAGGCACCTCTCAACAAGGCTTCTTCTCTCTCCTTCCTGGTTACTTTTCGAGTATCAAGAAATTTCAGGTTTGTCAATTTGTGCAGGACAAAATATCTGACAGATAGCAAAATGCACACAGTTAAAATCCGGTAATAAACAGAGATGTACTCACAGACTAAATGACTAAAAAAGAACAGCAACAGCCTGTGTTTCCTCTCTCTCTTCACCTTTTTCATGGAATGTAGCTTCTGTAAAAAGTTATAACACTTACTTTCTCAAATAAAGCTGCCTATAACAATTTAATACTGGGTAGATGAAACAGATAAGAAAATTATCACCACGGGCATGTATGTTCTCTCTATAGGTATTAGTGAGGTATAAGGTATACCCAGAAATAGAATAAGTTGGAAACTGGTTTGAATTGCCACTTTGGAAAAAGGAATTATGAGTGATTCCAAAGATTCTATCCCACATTGCAGGGGAAAACTAATCTGAGACATGGGAAATTGCCACCTATCTTCTCTGAAAGAGTCCTCAGAAAACATTCATTTGCCAACACTTCTTCAGATTTTTATTATATTTGCCTAAAAACACAATTATCAGCAACATTAGAGACATGTGAACAGAAAATCAGAGAGGAGTTTAATGTGTCTTCCATCATACATCCTAAAATACCATTCTTTGTCTTGAAAGAGACATATGTCAGTGTTCAAAACTCTTAACATTAAAAAAAAAGAATTCATCAAGAGAAAGCATGGAGTGTTATTCCTGGTCTCTGCTTTCCAGAACTACATTTTGACACAGGCATTGTTTGGAATAATTCCAATTTGATCCTGCCAGAGAGACAAGGTGTCCTTATGGCATATGAATCCCAGTTTAGGATTAAATGCAGAAGCACATAGAGAGAGACTATTTTTATAAAAATATTTTAAGAATTCAAAGTTCTTTGTAGGATCCATGAGTACTACATTCTGTTTATCCCTTTTTACTCCAAGTGCAGCAGCTTTTTAGCCTCAAAAAATACTATTGGCTCCTTCCTTGCAGAGGAAGAAAAAACGGCAGATCAGAAACAAAATAAGGCACAAAACCATGACAAATCAAGTTATCTAACCACCTTAAGTACATGTTATTTACATTTAGTCAACCAAATGTGAAGCATACATTGCAAAGTGAGGGAGGTGCCAGACTTTTCCTGGTAGGAGATAGAAAGGTGATTGATAATGTTCCCCATGCCTAGCTGCTTTTCATAAAACTCCAGTCAGAGAGCCTCCTAATCATACCAAACCGTTCTGGCACTGGGAGGAAGAAATCAAAGTAGTAGAAAACTCTGCATAACATAACATTCTGAAAAAAACAACACACAAAAAATGCATTTTAAAAAGTAAGAGTTATTTTGTAATAGTGTTCTCAGGACCAGATAAATATGTGAAAAAGACTGTAAGAGTCCCCCCTTCTATAACCAAACAAAACGTAACACTGCAAATAAACTTTCCCTCAAGTACACCTTTCCTCTGAGGCAATGGCTTTTTAAACTGTCAAGTGAACTGAAAACACTCAATACTGAAATGCTCGACAATTTCAATGTGAATCTTCAACTTACGCCTTTCAATGATATTAGAAAAAGAAAAAGAGAGTCACTTTACAAAACAGAACATATCCTAAAATCATTTATTAAACAACAGCTACAGATCTGCAAGACTGACACACTCTCAGACTCCTCCCAGCTTTTCTGGCTGCCCTTCAGTCCTCTCTGGCATTTTGCTGGCCCTTATCTTGCAATGGAGGAGAAGCTACCCATCTTGCGTTACTGGTAGAAAAGCTCTGATGACAACAGATTCTTTCACATGAAGACATGTACAGAAGGCAACAATATGTCAGGAGTGAAGAGTGAAGCTAAAAATGAGTAAAGACACCCACTAAGTGTAGGGTGAGAAAAGATGAATATTCAGGTGAAGAAAACATCGGTATTAGAAAATCAGCAAATGTTTAGTGATGGAATGAAATATGCCATTGAAAATCAGGCTGCAACAAAAATGACAACAGACTAAGACAGCATTGTCATCTATGCTGACTCTGGATCACAGCCCTAATGTCAGTCTCTCAATCATTTCAAAAGAGCTTAAAATTATAATAGCATTCCTTGATACAAATGTATTTTTAAGCTATCCTGACTACACTTCAAAAAACACAGAATTATCATCAATACTTGCCAATTCCAAAAACAAAACCAAAAAACCCTACCCACATAAACTAAACAGCAAACTACACCACAACAGATAGGTTTGGGGCTGATTTTTTAAAAAAAAAAAACTTGCACTCCTTATGGAAAGCAAGTATTAATAAGTAAGTACCATAAAGGTTATCCCAACTGCAGAACAAAGGTGTTTCAAAACACAAATCCATTTATTTATATTCCTTTTACTAGATGTGGGATAAAAAGAATCTGTATTATATGAAAATAATACAATACATTTCTATTAAATAATTGAAGAAAAGCATCAGGCTTCTTGGATATATTTTAGCTAGAAATATGAAGATGCAGCTTCAATCTAAATGTAACACAAGTTTGCCATAAAAAATACAGGGAAGGATTACCAAAGCCCTGGAATGAACACTTTACAATATCAATAGAACCCTTGTAAATTTAATCCAGGGTTATTTGTTGCACAAAATCTCTTTACTGTGATGTATGACTTAGTTACTAAGGTTATCACAGCAGTATCCTAAAGTTGCATAGTACATAAAACATTTCAGTTAACAATGCAGGGAGGTTAACTCCCACAGATAACCTACTATCAGAGGGTTAGACCAGATGACATGCCTCTGTCAGCTTTCAGGAGCTATTGATGGTTCAATCAGTTTGTTTTGAAGGTAAAGTACAACAAAAGGGCACTAAACTTATTCAAACTGTCAACAGGGACTATCTGGAATGTTGCTTGCAGGTAAGTAATTTTGGGTGTTTTAAGACTATTATCAAACACCAATGGCTGCAGAAAAAGACAGCTACTAATAACACAGAATGCAGCCACCATAAAATACTTTATGGCAGGTACTAGGATCCATAAATTGCATGACACACTGCACCTGTTTTAGACTTATAAAAACACTAGTTAAGAGAATGCTGTTTAATGAAGAAAGATCCATCTAAATTTTACATTATAAGTTTAGAAAGGTTTATTTTAGGTTAGAGGTTGGGGGGCAGCCACCCCTCCACATCCCCCCCCTTTTCTTTTAATCATTTTGAAGCTTAGCACTGCTCCATGTGCTCTGAAACTGCTGTTGCTGGGTTTTAACATCTTTGTAGTGGTGTGAAAAGAGGTTATTATCTTCAGTGATGAGGATAAAGGTGAGCTCCAGAGAGAGAAAAAAAACAGACATCAAGAAGATGCTTAAGAGATCTATCTATCAGTGCCTGTAAACTGATCTTCAAATTCATGATGGTTTAAGGAAATTAACTATGTAAGTAAAGTTATATCTTCCTTTGTATGGAATCATCTCCCCTCTTTGACTTCCAGTGTCAAGAGTCCAGTAAAAATAAGCTAATAACAGATACCCATGACGCACAAACAGGAACACTCAGAAATAGAGAAAGACCAAAGAATATCACATTTCATGTTATTTCAGTTCTAGTTAAGTGAAAATGACAATAAAGATTAACAATTAATTTGCTATTTTTGTAAATTTTGCATGAGATTAGTATTATTTTAACAGCTTTTACACAGACCTGTCAAGATACTGGAAAAGAGGGACAGGCTTGAGGGGGCATTTGCAAAGAAACACAGTGAGTTTGGGATTCAGCTGCTATTGATATTGGCAAAAGCTCAATGGGGCAAAGCCTTCCTTTGCAGAAAGATGTTGGAGTTCAGAAAGGGACAGGACAAAGACAGCTTTGAGATAAGCTATTGCTATTTATTAAACAAGACACAACTCTAGTTTTTGGATAAAGAAATACTGTCTCTGATACTGACTCACTCTACAGCCTCTAACAAATCACAGACCTGTCCATCTTAACTCTGTCTTACAAACACAGGAGCTAAGACCTATCAGTTATCTCGCAGGTATATTCTGTGTATGTTTCTAGCTCTCCACTGTGTAACAGCCATTACTTAAAACATAGTCTTTGGATTATTCCCTTACCCCCCAAAAAATCAGTGATGGTTCACACAATCTTAGGATACAGTTTCACAGGTGGAGCAAAAAGGTTCAAAGAGAATGTGTAAGTGTTCGTTAAAGGACCCCATGGAAGAAACAAATCAATCATTTTAAACATATGCAAAAAATTTTTCAGTCCTGATCCAAAACACACAGCTATAAATAACTTGTACATCAACTCATTATTTTTTGTTAAACAGCTACTGTGTAATTTCATTCTGATCTGTTTTTTCAGTAGCCACTTAAGTTCAGGCATAAAAATTCCTTCAGTTTTAATAGGTTTTGGTAGACTACTACTTATTATTATCAAACAGTTCTAGGAAATTTTTATCCTAGACTTGTGAACACCACAACAAAAAAAATCACATATCATAGCATTTAAGGGCCTCAATTCATTTATTACCTCCCTTGGAGAAGCAGACAAGTTGTAGAACATGGTTGGCCTTTTGATACTGAAAGATAACAGCATCACCCATGAGCCACAGTATAAGAAAACCTTAAAAGTGGCAATAAATAACTTGGGTAAAGAATATTTCAGTTTTTTTCTTCCTCCTCCTACAACAGGACAAGTAGAGTAAATTTGTATATGTTAGAGTTTCAGAGAAAATAAACTCTTCCACTGAACCTTTAGTTAAAGACTATGGTAAGAACTAGATTCTGTATAGTCCTTTATTTTGTACTTTTACTAACAAAAACTGGAATATGAAACTGTACTGTATGCATCAATATTTAAGTTTAAAATACAAAATTAATCCGCCCCTGAAAAACTGAGAAATATTTGCCCAGAAGAATGCAGAAATGCCTAGCTCTACCTGTAAAACTGCAACATGCTCTTTGTTTCAGAAAGAGTTTATTTTAATTTTTTTACTTCCTGTGTTACTGTATTTCCTTTCTCTGACAATCATAGAACATAAATATAATATACCTATTTCAAACTTTGAAGGGCTGATTATGCTCTCAGT